TGAGCTCAAGTTGGATGAGTTACGCATAGTAAATCGTAGGTATTATAAGGCTAGTAAATGACGAATTTCCCTTGTTTATTGAAGTCACATTCCTTCCCTATTATCTACACCTGATTCATATCTGTTTGCTAGTCGTATCTTCATGTTTTTGTGTTCCTTTTTTTTCAATGTGTACGTACATGTGGACTTGTATCCGAACTTGGAATCTTGCACAAACTAAGAATTTCAGCGCATCCGCGGTTTGGGCAACCAATCTGCAGATTGGGCAAAACCTGTTGCATATTTTACATCAGGAATGCATAATCTGGGATTATTAATTAGGTTATATTATTACCATGAGTTCTTATCAACTTTCTTCAATGTGTTTGGCGTCTTTGTTAAAATAATAAATGATTACGTTAGATAATCTGATAACTATTAGAGAAATCTTTTCCTAGTTTGCACCAGTTTATGTAAATATGCTCACATATGCCACAATCGCCAGTATAATCAATCGTAGTTGAATAAGCAACTGTTTTCAGCGTGCCCAATCGTGAGATTGGTCAGCCAAACTAGGAAATCGGCAGGTTGACCGTTGGGCAGCACGATCTTAAGATTGCGCAAATTCCAAGTTTGTTTACGACATCTGCACGGTTCTTTCGATGCATGACCGTTTCTCCCGAGCCAGAAGTGAACTACCTTACACCCTCCTGCTATAAATATATTATTAGCTACGTATGCATTCAGCTAGTGACGGTGATGAATGACTTATTCTGAATTTATAAATCCACTCGCTTCGCAGTGAAACTCGATTCGCGAGGCAGTTATATTATTACATTATTTTCGTTATTATATTCAGTGACAATGTGCCTAGTTCCGGTTCACACCTGCTCCGCCCATGTGTGTGTGGTTCATGCTAACTACGGCCACACAGTCACTGCCTGTGTGAGACACAGGTGCGAACTTAGCTGCGTCTTCCTAAAGTTAGGTTACACGACCCAGTCCTATATCACTATCAGCACGTCGGATTAGTTTAGCATAGTGTTGTCAATCGGTTGTAATTTCGTAATCGATCATCGGTTGGACCCAAGTAACCGATGATCGGTTACAATCGGTTACTCGGGGTGTTGAATGCCTGCGTGTGCGTAACGTCGTGCGTGTGTACGTGTGTGCATGTATGTGCTTGTTTAGTCCTGTTTACTGTTTGTTTTGCACTGTTTACTACTGTGTGTATAATACATGTATGTTAATAAAGGATAACTTGTATAGTTGCGATGATATCTCTGATTCTCATCACTTTTTTGATTTTTTTTTCTAATTTTTTTTTCCAATGAAAATCGATTATGGATTTTGATAACCAAGCGCTTGGTTCGAGCCACTGTTCAACCGATGATTGAGTATAATCGATGATCGTGACATCACTAGTTTAGCATAGATATATATATATATATATTATATATATATGCGACCTATACACATACAGGGGTCCCAAACTAGGATAACTAAGCAATTCTAACCAATCAGTGCCCTAGCGCCCCTTCCTAAAGTAAAGATGTACTTCCTGCAGAGGACTTTAAACGGATCATACGGAGTATATAAATTATATACCCACACTGGTACCTATAATGGCTATGCGCTATGCTACCACAACGCTGGGAAGCGGAGGCAGTTTGGCGACTTTTTAAATAGTGATTAGTGGTCAATTTAGTGGGCAATCATCATGGGAATCAGATACGACCGCGGATAGCTCTAGTAACTAGTCTATATAGCCCGCGTACGGTTGCCGCTGTACGCGGTGCTATATGTTACTAGAGCTACCGTAGTACTACCGCGGCACACGCGACGTGTATGCACGCAAAAATGCCTCAACACTAGAATAACCCGCACCTAAAGAACTATCTAACTTAATCTAAGAACAAGCTATCCTTAGTAAAAAACTAGAGCGTAGACATATCTTCCTGCTTCTTTAGATAATCCCCGCACCTGCATTGATTAGAGTTGCCTTGTAAAAGACAGGGATAAGATACAAATTAGAAGGTGAAACTGAAAACTTGAAAGTTCACCAATTACTAGCTCTATAGTAGTAGCAGTAGTAGTACTATAGCCGCGTACATTGTTGCCGCAGGCCTGCGGGCCACTGTACGCAGGCTATATAAGTACTACTAGAGCTTCCGATTAGACTAGCAGTAGTTGCTTGCTTACCTTGATAAAAAGTTCGATCTCTGCGTTTTCGTATTCCCGACATGATTCGAAGATGCGATCTTTTCGGGACAGACGATTACTCTTAGTCACGCAATTTCCGACAGATAACACGAAATTCACAACAACTTCTCACACGGACACTGCAAGTACACCTCGGACTCCACCACAGCGTGTCGCGCATGCGCACAGGTAATTGACAGGCGTGTCGAGCTGTGCCACCCATCTATTGGCGTGAAAACAGTGGTAAAACATAGGACCAAAAAAGTTTGAAGTTGATTCATGAAATTCTCGCCATTTTCTAATCATGTTAACTTCACAGGAGCCGCCATTCAATTGATAATAGCGGTTATTAGTAGCATATCACCAGTACGCAATTAAGGGACTTGTTGTTCTGAACTTTATTATACCATGCCATTGGTCACGCGTGCGCCAACATGGCGTGTCCATGGACGCTGCCATTTCTTGAATCAGCAAATAAATAAATAAAGAACAACTG